GTAGATACTCTTTATTGTTACTTCCAAAAGATTTCAATAGTTAACTTATTATGGATACAAACAATTACAAGAAATAATCACAATGAGAAAACACGACCGACCTTATTGCTAAAAGTGATCTCTTCCAAGCAACCTTTGTATGGAGAGAAGTATGGTTTTCTATTGTTTTTTTTTACTAATGACTAAATTTTAACCTGTTTTCGACACTACATAATTTAAGATTTAAAACATAATATTTTTAATTTTCATAATTATATCAAGGACATTAATATTAAGTTAATAATATAACTAAAAACATAATAATATGTATATATCTATAACATTTTAAGAATCACAATTAATTATCTATAACATATTAAGTTGAATAAAAAATGAATAAAAATTAAAGATAAATATTTTATTGTGTCTACTCCATAGTCGGGTTTGTTTTTTGCAGATGACGGGCGGCATTGCGTGGTCAGTTTTTGTTCGTCATCCGAACTGGACGTTCCAAGTTCAAATTTGAAAATTGGATCCCGATGCGATTCGATATTTGAAATTTCAAGTTTAGCATAAAATGCTGCCCGCTAAGAAATCCGCGGTATTCGATTTTAAAAATTGTGTCTTTGTAATTTTCTTCTTTTAGAGTTATCAAAGGATAATTTGAAGTTTTTTTTTATAATATATAAATAAATAATGTTTGTTTATTTGTTTGTAAAGCTTTATTACACATTCATATATACACATATTTGGAACCAATAATGGGTAAAACAGAAAAATTAGTCAAAACACACATATTGACTTCTCCTTTGCAGGGAATGTATTTTTTTAAAATAAATACAATTTTAGTTATTTCAATGATTTTTTATAGATTATGTACGTCCAGATAGAGTGTAAGGTGTTAAAAAACGTTTCAAAAACGTTCAGCTACACTGTGTGTAGCTATTACTAGGTAGATCTTTGACGAAACTCTAAAATTGGGGAGGTATAAATTCAGCAGTGGACAGTAAACAGCTTACCATATTATAGTAATAATAATAATAATAATAAATTCTAAGTGTTTCAAGTAATAACAATCTGGTATTGATGCATATGCTAACAATTCACAGAAATAAAAAAGAACTTGGCCTGTTTTAGTGAACCATTTGCAGAGAGAAACTGTATTTACTTGTTATTTAGGTATCTAAGCATAATATTACGTTCAAATGTAGTAAGAATAAGTAATTTTCATAAATTATACATTTAGTATAAAATAGATACACACATACATAAGGGTATTATTTGTACAAAAGTCGTTTGCTTGGGTACCTCTGTCCCATTCATGATTCTAACGTGAAGCAGTTGTGTTTGCACGGCTGTGTTCTACTTTTAAGGGTGGGATTTGGCAGTGAATTTATAGAGTACAGAGGAATAACACTTGAGTCCTAAGGAATGGCAACGCGTGGGGGGTATCGTGCGCGAAACAGTATACTCTGCTAAGTACATGGTATTGCTCATGTCTATAGGCAACGATTACCACTTTCCATCAGGTGGGCCGTCAGCTTGTTTGCCATTCTAAGTTACATAAAAAAAGGGTAGGCAGAAATAATAGAACGCTAAATGCTTCGATTCAAACAAACCTCTCTCGCTTCTTCCACATTCATCAATCTTTTCATACACGCTCGCCGGTTACGGGTACTTTTAATTTGGCCCTTCTTCAGCACGTCGCCTATTTGGTCAACATACGTCCGTCTAGGGCGGCCCCTACCGACATCTCCATTCATTCTTGCTCGATAAATCTCTTTCGTAATTCTTCTTTCATCCATCCTCTCCAAATGACCAAAGCAACCATTCTTTGGAATCAACTTCCAGCAGCAGTATTTCCGAACCGATACGACAACATAACCTTCAAGAAAAGAGTATATTCCTTTTTAAAAGGCCGGCAGCACACCTGCAATGCCGCTGGTGTTGTGGGTGATCATGGGCGGCGGTAGTCACTTACCATCAGGTGAGCCGCATGCTCGTTTGCCCCCTGTGTTGTAAAAAAAAAAAAAAAAATAATATAAAATGTCATAAATAATTTCAAATCTTGGTCAAGATAGGTACTTAATAATAATAATAATTATATATTTATTTATGTATCCTCACAAACAACTTAAATTGACACATAGGTATTTAGGATAAAAATAAAATTAAAATAATATGGAGCTCTGCTGTGAGAAGCTGGTGTCTGTAATAGGTTAAGACCTGTAGTACAGATCACTAGGCGCCCGACCGATATGTGTTTAAATAATAATTAAACAAAATGCATTCCACTGAAATTACACAATCCAAAAATAAAAATAAAAAACAATAAAGGTACTTACTTACCTTTAAGTTAGAATATTTGTTAATGAATGATAATGGTATAGTTACCTCGCCTGCGCTAACGGTATACGCCGGGGGGCAAGGGATTGATAGCAATGGAGTGTGACCGTCTCATTGTTAGCAATATGCCCTAACAGGTCGACCTCCACGTGGTTCCCCCTGGAAACCATCGTGAACAATTCTTGTTGAATTTGTCACGGTGGGCTAACTGACCCGCTTTATCCTCACCTATTATCCTTCACTGATGCCCCGCCAGTGTATACTGGCAGCGCGGAATACGCTGGCAGAGCACCAGTGGATGGTGCTCTGCCAGCGTATGAAGGGTGATAGATGAGAATGAAAACAGGCCAGTTAGCCCATCATGATGAATTCATCAGAAATTAAACATGATAGTTTCCAGGGGGAACCGCGAGGAGGTCGACCTGGTACGTAATTAAAGTATATAATACAATAAAGGACCGGATTCATGAAGGGTTCCAATGGGAATGATATACGGGAAATACATAGTTAGAAGCGGACAACGCCGCGGGAAAAGGCCAGTTTAAAATATAATACGATAGATACATATCAATATAATGTATAGAAAAAAAATCTTTTTAAAACAGACTTTTTTTTTAAATAACGCGCTCCCAAAATTATGTAAGTCTCACAGTAATTTTTTTTTTACAACACAGGGGGCAAAAGTGTATGCGGCTCACCTGATGGTAAGTGACTACCGCCGCCCATGATCACCCACAACACCTACGGCATCGCAGATATGCTGCCGGCCTTCTAAAAGGGAATATGCTCTTTTCTTGAAGGTTATGTTGTCGTATCGGTTCAGAAATACTGCTGCTGGAAGTTGATTCCAAAAAGTGGTCGTGTGTGGAAGAAAGTGCCTTGAAAAACGCACGGTGGAGGACCGCCACTCGTCCAGATGAGTCAATATGGCGTCATTTATTGCCTGTACAGGCAATTTATTTATTTAAAACTTTACTAAATAAATAGATAGATATTATTGATAATGTACTTTCAGGTTTTCGTACATATTTTTTTATGCAACTTAGAATGGCAAACAAGCTGACGGCCCACCTGATGGAAAGTGGTAACCGTCGCCTATAGACATGGGCAGTACCGTGGACATAACAGAGTATACTGTTTCACCCATGATACCCCCATGCGTTGCCATTCCTGTGGATTCAGGTGGTTTTCCTCTGTACCCTGTAAATTCACACCATATCCCACTCTTTAAACCGAAACACAGCCATGCAAACACAACTGCTTTACGGTTGAAACACGAATGGGACAGAGGTACCCAAGCAAACGACTTTTGTACAAAGTCTCCCTCTGGCAAAACGTATGGCAAGAGATTGAATATTTGAACGTTCAATATAAAAAAAAACGACACGACAACCGGCAATTAGTTGATGGTACTTTTGGGTGATTTTTAACGATCGATGTTCCATCTGAAGGTACTTTTTCATACATAAAATATAAAACTATTTCATGTATGAAAAAAATAAACATATAAAACTACTAGATGGATATCTTAGTAGTTTTATATAATATTTATTTATTTATTTGATAGATGAAGTTGGAAGGATAATACCTAATAGTTTTTTTTAATGGATGATAATGGAATGGTACCCCGCCTGCGCTATCGGTGTACACCGGCGGGGCACCAGTGAGAGATGATTGGTAAGGATGAAGAGGCAGGTCAGTCCATCTTGACGAATTCAACGATAAATGAGTCACGATGGTTTCCAGGGGGAACCGCGTGGAGGTCGACCTGATAAGGTATATTGATAGCAATGGGGACTAACCTCCCTATTATTAACAATCCCTTCCCCCGCAGATAGTAAGTCTACTAACATCTTGGTATTAAGTAAGTATTTTTTTAGGGAACGAAAATGGAATGGTGACCCCATCTATGCTGTCGTTATACGCCGGCGGGATATCAATGAATGATGATAAATAATGATGAAGTCAGGTGAATGGGTTCATCGTAATGAACTCATTAGGAATTAACCATGATGGCTTCCGGGAGGGACCGCGAGAAGGTCGATCGGATAATATACTCTATATTACTAGCAGCGGAGCAGCAAATAGTAACGGCACAGGTACCTTAGTTTAGTGACACCGAATGACAGCACATGGATGTCACAGTGTATTCTGTGACGTCCATGGGATCAGTCATGTCTGTAACTGACGGTTGCCATTTTCCGTTGCGAACCGTCAGCTTATTCCATGTATCTATTATAAAGAAAATATCAAATAAATTATCTCCAGTAAGTACTTGCTTCATAAAAGAAATACAAAAAGCTCGCATAGAACATAACTGAATAAACCAATTCATTGACCATTAATAGTAACGTTTGAAAAAAGCTAAGAACATTCTAGAAGCGAACAGCCCTAACCTACCACAAGCGAGGCGAATTAATATCCAAACACTACACTTTCATAGTTCATTCTTTAAAAAAAAAAAACGCAAGACAATGCACCCGGCGCAAAAACTGGCAGGATCACAAGACATGGATGGGCCTATCACTTATGCAAACTTAGGCCACTCCCTGCCCGGCACGCCTACACTCCTATCATCTGTCCTTATCCAGCACACAACGAAATATATCTCCGTCCCTTGCGGACGGATAACGCCTACGCATTTTCAGCGTCGAGTTTTTAGTTGCCGCAAGACATCGCACGGGGTTGCCGGCGCGAGCCACTGGCGGGAAAATTTACTGCACACAAAAAAATACGCAAAAAGTGTTTTTTTTTCTCACCTATTTTTTTTTATTGTACACTTGCTATGAATAGAACGGTGTACTGTTTTTCGGGTGCGCTCCGAAGCGATAACGTTATCAGTGATGTTAATGACACGTGAGCGCGACAGACGGTATACGCGTCTCGCTCGCGCGGCGGCTTTTTTGACTGCAGTGCTTTTTTTTCTCTAATAGTGATGTGCCCGTGCTGTGTTGTTTGTTTTGTTAAGTGAAGGTAATTAAATATTTAATACAATTAATTTAACAAGTTATTCATTCGAATCTATTAATTCACTCACGTATAATTTAATAGGTACGTATCTACTTATTATAATACATATCTATTCCGTCTATCTCCCATTAGGGTAGACAGAAAAAATCAAAATATAATAGAAATATAATAAAAACGTAACTAGACAATGTCTGTACACGGAATTATAAGAAAAAAAAATTTAAAAAACATTGATAGACAGATAGAAAACATATATATTTAAGAAAAATTGAAGTAAAAGATTTTAGTAGAAGCAATTGATGTCAAAACCTGTGGCTCCTCAACGTTTAGAAATCCTAGGAACGGTGAGGTCGCTCTGTGAGGCCTGTGAAGTTACCAGGAAGCTTCTGTGCTTCTAGGCGGAGTTGGATTGGCTGTACTAGCCACGATTCATACACACAATGACCCAAATGAGAGGCTAAACGCGGAAAATAGAGTTTAATTTACATTACATTACATTAGATGCCAAAACATTAAACGTACATCTGTCCGTATGTTTGTTCTGGTATTACGCTAAAACTATAGCACCGAATTGAATGCAACGTTCACTGTTTTATACCTGAAGGTCTAACTTAAAAACTGGTGTAGGTTTCGCCTCTTTACGCCATCTTGAAATAGTATATTTCGTTGGGTTTCTTAATTTTGAAAATCATGTAAACGAAGCAGTGGGCAAAAAGCTAGTCGTTTTTTAAAATCACTGCAAATTTATAGACTATTACAAGTCAATGATAATTTTCATTGACCCTGTGGTCCCGGCATAGGATAGGCGACTAAGGAAGGACTTTTTTTTTATACAACTTAGAATGGCAAACAAGCTGACGGCCCACCTGCTGGAAAGTGGTAACCGTCGCCTATAGACATAAGCAGTACCATAGACATAACAGAGTATACTGTTTCGCCCATGATACTCCCCATGCGTTGCCACTCCTGAGGACTCAGATGTTATTCCTCTGTACCCTGTAAATTCACGCCATGTCCCACCCTTCAAACCGAAACACAACCATGCAAACACGACTACTTCACGGTAGAAACAACACGAGGGATGAGTAGCAGCATCCCTCTTAAAACATCTCCAAAGCTAATATGCGGTTGCCAATCCGCCTGCCAAGCGTGGCAACTACTAGCAAAACACCCCAAGGGGGAGGCTTATGTTCAGCAGTGGACAGTTAAAGCCTGATTTGATGATAATGATGATGGAATAGTAACCCCACCTGCGCTATCGATATACGCTGGTGGGGAACTAGTGAGGGGTGATAGGTGAATAGGTCAACTGACCCGTTTTCATCCTCACCTATCATTTCTCACTGGTCAGCGCAGGCGGGGTTGTTAGGTTCACCCCATAAAAAAGACCTTTCTAAAAAAATTAATGGCCTTCAAACCGAAACACAGCCATGCAAACACAACAGCTTCACAGCAGAAACGCGAATGGGACAGAGTCATTCAAGCAGGCGAATTTTGTACAGTCTCCCTCTGGTTGGTAACGTACTTTCGTAATTTCCAATTTACTTATACGCCTTAAAACTTTTACACGTGGAATAAATAAATAAATATTAATAAAGGTCGGCAACGTACAAGCAACTCCTCTTGTGCTGCAGGTGTTTATGGGCGACGGTAGCCGCTTACCATCAGGTGGACCGTCTGCTCGTTTGCCTTCCTAACAATAAAAAAAAAAATATCCGAGCATATTTTATGATATTTCTCCTAAAATTAATAAAAGAAACGCACACGTAAAGGTAATAAAGCACCCGTATTTGTCGTTAAGTATTAGAAATCAAGGTCAAAAAATTGTCTAATTTTTGGTTCTATGAGAATTGTTGACGATCCCAGGCTTACAAGCGGTATCGAATTTTTAAGTCTGAGGAGAGATTTTGCCTCACTCTGCATGTTCTATCGTTTGTACAACGGATTATGTTCAAAGAAATTGTTCAATACGATGCCCACGGCCACCTTCTACTATCTTACAGTTTGCGTTGACAAGAAGTTCCTTACCTCCTCCATATCTTAGAGTCTAGATAACCGCGTATTTGTACTTTGGTGATGTGTTATGAGAGGCGATACTAGTCATCCCTCGATATCAGGTTGTTAAGTAAAAATACACAGGCTGACATAAGTTAGCTTTAAAGGATTTGTAGATACATTTAAACATATAATAATAATATTTTCTTATTAAAGATAGCTAAAGTCCATTTTTGTTATTAACAATTGACTTAAACTATGTTAGTAAAAGAAAAAAAATTCCAAACAAATCATTTTATGGCCCCTATAATAATTTTGACTCACAATAATGCTCACAGAATGCTGTTACTGCTGCCACTTACTTTAGACAGAAACTTTGAGAAATAACATTTATATAACAACCGTTAAAATAACAAACATTAAAACAACTTTAAAAAAAAACCTACTAAGAGGCTGTTCTGTTAGTGCATACTGTATTCCGAAGAAGTTTTAAAAAGTTATTGTAAATTAAATAGATATCTCTATTTTAATACTTAGTCACAATTTAATATTAATTTTGAATTTAGAATGGAAAAAGAATATTGAAAAAATCCTTTATAGAATCCATATTTTAACTATATATTACATAATCTTTTCAGAAATACTATTAAAATATGAAAATTTTATTCCAACAATTTGTAAGTGATTAAAAAATTAAAATATGTAGTAATTTTACTAATTAATATGAAGTACATATATTAACGAAATAGGTGTTGTTACCTTGCGAAAGTCCACCTGATAATAAGTGGTAACCGTCGCCTATAGACATGAGCAGTACCATACACATAACAGAGTATACTGTTTCACCCATGATACCCCTCATGCGTTGCCATTCCTGAGGACTCAGATATTATTCCTCTATACTCTATAAATTCACTACCATATCCCACCCTTCAAACCGAAACACAGCCATGCAAACACAACTGCTTCACGGTTGAAACACGAATGGGATAGAGGTGCCTAAGCAAACGACTTTTGTACAAAGTCTCCCTCTGGTATATATATGATTAAAATTATTTTGTTAAATTCCATTACTAATGGAATTTAACATAATAATTCTAAATAAATAACCAGTTAACATAAAATGTTATTGGCGTTGTATTAAGTGTAAAATTTAACCCTATCTTCGATTCTTTCACTTACTAATCTATAAACAAATATTTTTATAATAGCAAATGAAAAATATGCAATATACTCCCTCTTACTCTCGACTTCGAAAGCCTACATTCTTCACCATACCAAATAGTAAAGATACATGAAAAGTTATAGTGATTTTTTTTTTGATGGATGAAAATGGTATGGTAACCCCGCCTGCGCTAACGGGATACGCTGGCGGAGCACCAGTGAAGGGTGATAGATGAGAATGAAAACACGCCAGTTAGCCCATCATGATGGATTCATCGGGAATTAACCATGATAGTTTCCAGGGAGAACCGCGAGGAGGTCGACCTGGTTGGGTATATTGCTAGCAATGGGATTCTCAGTCTCCATTACTAACAATCCCTTTCCCCCCAGTTATAGTAATTATTTAAACAAGCAAACAAGCAAACTCTATTTTTATTTATTTATTAAGATTACATACAACTTTTTACATTTTTTAAATGCTACTTATTCGATAACATAAAAATAACTTTGCGTAATGAAAAAGTAATTTACAAGTGAACACCGAATGCATTATTTTTAACAATATCAAGTATTTATTTATTACACTTTAATATATCTACAAAGTATAAATGGCGGACTTAACTTGGCGTTATCTACCAGTCAACTGTAGATAGGAATAACATGTCGTTTGCTTGGGTACCTCTGTCCCATTCTGTGTTTCAACCGTAAAGCAGTTGTGTTTGCATGGCTGTGATATGGATATGGCGTGAATTTACAGGGTACAGAGGAATAACACCTGAGTCCTCAGGAATGGCAACGCATGGGGGGTATCATGGGCGAAACAGTATACTCTGTTATGTCCATGGTACCTACTGCTCATGTCTATAGGCGATGGTTACCACTTTCCATCAGGTGGGCAGTCAGCTTGTTTGCCATTCTAAGTTGTATAAAAAAAACACACACACACATATATAATATATACATACAATTATATCAAATGAAAAACTACACAAATATAAAGGAAAACACCAATATCAGACAAAGCATGCATCTAAAAACATAATACGATTCTATGAATCACTATATAGTATAAAACAAATCGTTTCCCGCTGTCTGTCCCTATGTATGCTTAGATCTTTAAAACTACGCAACGGATTTTGTTGTGGTTATTTTAATAGATAGAGCGATTCAAGAGGAAGGTTTATATGTATAATACATACATAATATAGTAGAGAAACAATGATAATTTTAGAGGTTTCTAATGTAATGTCGTAATTAAACACTTTTTTTAGCATTTCACCTGTGCGAAGTCGGGGCGGATCGCTAGTTGTTAAAAAAAAGAACGCAGTTTATGCCTGAATGCCAACTTGTTTAGGGAAGATCTAATATCAAAGGGCAAAGCATACATACATACACATCTGTCTAAAACAAATGTTTAATATGTTGTATAAGCTATTATGGGTCCTAAATTGAGATCAATTAGATCACTGTGGGCGTTTAGAATCCTACATAATCTAGGTACAGGCGATTCAGCTCCTAATACAGTTTTTTTCCATGTTTCCTAGGTCATTTTCACATTTATAACTTAATAAAGCTATTGTTACTAATAAAAACATAAATCGAATATCTTTATCGATAACTCGCCAATAGTTCGCATGCGCATCACTATTTCATGTGGATTAATAATGATTGTCTATCAAATGCCATTTCCGCTCGATTGCTTCACGACTAGGTGTTTTTTCCATTTCACAATCTGAAACGAACGAAACTGAATTTGAAGACAGTTTAAAGTGAAGCGTTTTGGATTTGGATTTTAGACTTTCGCGTTGTTTACACATATTTTAAATACACAATCGGCATTTAGCGTAATGTAAAAGCTTTTATAGGTAAGACGACACGTCGAAACTACGGCAATAGAGAAGCAGGTACGTAGGTACTATTTACCTGTAAAAGCTTTTACATCGCGTTAAGTCCCGATTCTGTATTTAAAATTAGATTCGATTGTCTTCAATCGACTTGAAAAAAAAGAGGTTCTCAATTCGATACTATTCAAAAATAATTAATAATTAAGTTTTATCATCATCACCATTTCAGCCGTTATCGGTCCACCACTGGGCATAGGTCTCCCTCATAGACTGCCATAAGGAACGGTCCTGAGCCACCTGTATCCACTGACTCCCTGCATTACATTTAAGGTCGTCACTCTGCCTTGTCGTCCTACATTGCGTTTGCCCAGGATCGCCACTCAAGAACATTTCTTCCCTATCTGTTGTTAGTTCTTCGAGCTATGTGACCAACTCATTGCCAACAAATTAATATTAATTGAAATGGCGACCATATTCAATGATTTTTAATAAAGAAAGCATGTTTTAAGTAAATTCTCAGATATAAATCAAAATAATTGATGAATGTAATAATAATAATAAATGTGAATCATTATGTTTTTAAACCTCGTTCTTTCATAAATGCATTTGCCCGTACGGGATTACCACTTAAGAACCTTCCTTCCCCATCAGTTGTCGGTTCTTCGAGGTATGTGATCAGCCCATTGCTACTTTCAGCTTGCTTATCCTTCGGGCTATGTCATTTACATTAATTCTTTGGCTGACTATTAAGTTTACTTGAATAGAATTATTATTATTGTTAATTTATAAGTCTTGCTATAAAAAAAAAAGTTTTATTAAAAGCGCCGTCATCCGGTTACGTTTAATATCCCGTCAGTCAGAACTAGGGCTGCCATCACCTAAATTGCCGACACCGGATGAACACGGCCAAAGTCCTGGACAATTGTTCGAAATATTGTTTTTTTCTCCGGACACTTCTGAAAAAATATTGTTTGTAACAAAAATTAAAATATAGTTATATAAAAATAGGGTTATTGAGGATAAATTTGTAACTTAGATTTATTTCAATTAATCGCGTACGCTATAAAAAAAATTTTATTACCCCTGACAACAAAAGTGGATATTTTTCAAAAACCCCTACCGGACGGCCCCCGGACGCCCTTCAAACTAGAACAAATCCGGGGAATTCCGGACGGATGGTAGCCCTAGTCAGAATTAACTTACTGCAGCACGCTCCCTTAACTCACGCAGTACAGTTACTAAATAATATTATAAACATCATTGATATTTTTAGTAGTAGCCTGTCAAAGATATTAGAAACGGCTCAGAAATATCTGGAGTCGGGTTCGATACCTTTATTATAATTTTGTATGTTAGCATACTAGCTTATAAACATTGATTTGTCTTTTACTGTCATAATTTTATAATTATTTTTGATGAATAAATAAATAAATTAATGCCAATATAATTCAATTATAAGATTAATCAATAAATATACATATACATTTATTATACAGTTAGTGGGTGATAATGGAATGGTAACCCCACTCGCGCTATCGGTATACACCGGCGGGGCACCAGTGAAGGATGATAGGTGAGGATGAAACAGGTCAGTTAGCCCACCGTGATAAATTCAACAAGAATTGTTCACGATGGTTTCCAGGGGGAACCACGAGGAGGTGGATCTAATAGGGCATATTGTTAGCAACGGGGTTGTCAAACACCACTGCTAACAATCCCTTTCCCACCAATAAATGTATATATAACCATAATGAATGAAACTACAAATAATATGATCACGTTTTATAACCAATTACGTAGTTATAGATTAATTATTTTAAGTGATTTGTTAGTAGCGGTGTAAATTTTAGTATTATTAAATAGATAATACTAATATATATGTAAAATATTTGTAATTAAATTAGCAAATTAAACTTTTCCTTTGTGAAAGTTAATAGTTACAGACGATGTGACAATTTTAACTTTTGAAAAACGATTAGAAATTTGAACTTGATGAGCAAAAGTTTATATTTTTTTTGTGTATAATAAAGTATAAATAAATAAATTATATAATATAAAAGATAACGACCACCTACTATATACTTTTATAATAAATTTTATTATGAATCCTATTTTCATTCTTCTTATAAATGTGTCATAAATACGTGAGATCAAATCCAGAGACAAATAAAAAAGTTAACATCCAAGTTTTGGCGGGAAAATCTTGTAACCCGTTCAACGTTTCATTACCCACTTTAACCGTCGCGCTCCGTTCCCGAGCGATCATTTAAATTTACCGTGAAAACAATAACTCTTTCAAAACTGTGTTTACTGAGGTAATTTAATTGTGAATTTAACAGCTTGTTTAATTAATTAATTTGTATAATAGTGATTCATTCTTAAACGTTATTATCTGTGCTATTTTTATTATTCAGTATGAAAGAAATGTATATTGTAATATAAAAACAATACAAATTTCTTACAAATATATCTGAAAGAACGAGGTTTACAAAACATAATGATTCACATTTATGATTACATTCACCAATTACTTTGATCTGTATCTGAGAATTTACTTAAAACATGCTTTCTTTATTAAAAATCATTAAATGTGGTCGCCATTTTAATTAATATTAATATGTTGGCAATGAGTTGGTCACATAGCTTGAAGAACTAACAACAGATAGAAAAAAATCTTGTGTGGCGATCCTGGGCAAACGCAATGTAGGACGACTCCCCACTAGATAGAGTGACGACCTCAAATGCATTGTAGAGAGTTAGTGGATTCAGGTGGCTTAGGACAGTTCCTTATTCCAGTCTATGGGGGATATGGGGGACTTTTAGATAGCGATTTGACACATTTCATACAAAGTTACTCGAGTAAAGCAGCGGGCTACGACTAGTCGCCCTCATAAATCTACAAACCGACTAATATTATGCTAATCGCTAACATTTGTTACGTTAAACAACGGATGCACGAAAAACATAATTTGCACTATATAGAATGTTCTTGGCGTTACAAATTGAGCTCTTTCGTTAGGTGAATTAGGATGAATTTTGTTGTACACGAAATAGTGTTTAGTATTTGTAATGGAGTATAAATAGAAATATAGGATACAATCGTTTAATATAAGAACCGTCAGTATTAACACGGTGTATTTTTTTCATGGTATTAATTACTTGTTTTTGTGTTCACTAACCTCATTGGTGTTAATTAATCGATTAGCGATAATTTGATTTTGCATGTTCCAATTTTAAATGTTTGCACACATATCGCAAATATTGATTATTAATCACATCGCCGTTGCATTTGTTTTGTGAAAAACTAGCTGTTGCATGCGGCTTTGCACGTGTTAGATATTTATTTTAAATTATATTAATTTTCTTAAATATCTTGTGTTAAAATGTACTTTTTCTCAAACATGCTTGGAAATGTGAGCATTATTTTGACAATCTTCTTCGAGATTAATCAAAATTGCCGTACTGGTCAGATACATGCGGGCAGCGGCCGGCAAAAGTTGTATGAAAATCCATATCTGTCGTATTTTGCGGCCAGATAAATTACTATGTAAACTCATATCTGTCCTGTAATTTAAAAATAGAATGACCTTTTACTTCGAAACATGGCTCCCAAGGAGGTAACTAATAAAAGGTTTTATTTAAATTTCGAACTGGCTTGCAAATAGAATGCTGTTTATTGAAAAAATACAAAGGAACATTATGGCGCGTGAAAAATTATTATTGTTCGTTATTCGTCATTGAACTTAAAAAGTAAAATTGTATTTTTGATTTCCGCGCATTATTTGAGAAAAGTACTATACAAGCCTTGGCCACAACTAGGCATTGATGGACTCACGTATGTGTGCCTCGGTTACACCTCGGCCCACATTTGCACGTTCGTCCATCAATGCCTCAGTTGCTGGCCGCTGCAGTAATGTACTATATAGCTTGAAGATAAATTTTTCACAGGGTAAGTGGCGAAAGAGTGAATTTATAATTTTTACGTATAATGCACACAAACATTAAAATACATATTACTTATTAGACTACTTATTATAACAAATTATAATATTACATATATACACACATATAAATATATACATAGCACACACTAGGAAATATAACGAATGCAGTAAAATAAAAAAAAAATATATATATAATAACCTTTTATCATTGCACCGCTCGCCATCAACAGGGAATTCAATCTTACTAAGCATGGGTAATATGGAACCCAATATATAGATATAGGGGAGAAAGGGATTGTTAGTAATGGAGACTGAGAATCCCATTGCTAACAATATATCCAACCAGGTCCACCTCCTCGCGGTCCCCCCTGGAAACTATCATGATTAATTCCTGATGAATTCATCATGATGTGCTAACTGGCCTGTTTTAATTCTCATCGATCACCCTTCACTGGTGCTCCGCCAGCGTATTCCGATGAAGAATCAATCATGATAGTTTCCAGGGGGAACCGCGTGGAGGTCGACCTGGTTAGGTATATTGCTAGCAATGGGATTTTTAGTCTCCATTACTAACAATCCCTATCCCCCCAGTGGGACAGTGGTACCCATGTAAACCATTTTTCTGTAGTGTTATCCTCTGATAATTTATAGAACACTGCGTTCATAGACTTGCTATTATAATATTCTGGACGAGTGGCGGTCTTCCACCGTGCGTTTTTCAAGGCACTTTCTTCCACGCACAACCATTCTATGGAATCAACTTCCAGCAGCAGTATTTCCGAACCGATACGACAACATAACCTTCAAGAAAAGAGTATATTCCTTTTTAAAAGGCCGGCAGCACACCTGCAATGCCGCTGGTGTTGTGGGTGATCATGGGCGGCGGTGGTCACTTACCGTCAGGTGAGCCGCATGCTCGTTTGCCCCCTGTGTTGGAAAAAAAAATAGAATTCTAACTAGACATGAAATATATTGATATGAGGGGTGTTTAAGAGGGTCTGTCTATAGAAGTAACAAAAGAGTCATTTTTAAAATGTTTGTCTGTCTGTCTACATGTTTTTTTTCGACATCACCACAAAATCTACTGCACCAAATTGAATATGGTTTGGCCACATAATATAAGCCTCCCCTTGGAGGGTTTTGCCAGTAATTGCCACGTTTGGCAAGCGGATTAGCAACCGCAGTCAGGCTTTGGTGATGTTTGATGAGGGTATTGCTGTCCATCTCTCGTCCTCCCTTAGTCGCCTCTTACGACACCTAGGGAAAAGGAACGGGTGGGTTATTCTATACCGGGACCACACGGAAATATATATTTTACCAACCTGTAATGTAACATGCTTCTTCGATTAAATTATTTCTTTCTTTCTTTCTAATGCTACTTGACTAGTGTAAACTAGGCCTAACATCTGTTTTCCTCAACTGTATGCAAAAAATTGTCACAGACATATCGGATACACATTTGCATAGCCATTACTGGCCAATGCACGTGATGATTGTATTTTTTCCTTCAACTATTACTTTAATAAGTGTGAATGGGACTTGAAAAAAGTGCGTAAAAACACATATATGCGCGTACGCATACGTTTTGCATATTAACCAATTTGTTCTAGTTATTGCGCCATATGACACTCAATGGATCGTGAAATTATATAATACGGTTATTTTTTTAACCACTTCTAAAGGGAGCAAGTTTTTTTTTATACAACTTAGAATGGTAAACAAGCTGACGGTCCACCTGATGGAAAGCGGTAACCGTCGCCTATAGACATGAGTAGTACCATGGACATAACAGAGTATACTGTTTCGCCCATGATACCCCCCACGCGTTGCCATTCCTGAGGACTCAGGTGTTATTCCTCTGTACCCAGTAAATTTACGCCATATCCCACCCTTCAAACCGAAATACAGCCATGCAAACAGAACTGCTTCACGGTTGAAACACGAATGGGACAGAGGTACCCAAGCAATCGACTTTTGTACAAAGTCTCCCTCTAGTTTTCAATTAATCCAATATGGCTGTTTTGCGGAATCAGGGTTCGATTCCCGGGTGGGCCAATTTTGGAAATTTTCCTATATTGGCTCATGTCTGGATATACAAAGTTGTGTTTCAGATATTATATTAAAATCAGGTACTTTTTCAGATAGTATTGTCACGTATTTAACAGAGGGAGACTTTGTACAAAAGTCATTTGCTTAGACACCGCTCTGTTCCATTCGTGTTTCAACCGTGAAGCAGTTGTGTTTGCACGGCTGTGTTTCGGTTTGTAGAGTGGGATATGGCAGTGAATTTACAAGGTACAGAGGAATATCATCTGAGTCTTCAAGAATGGCAGCGCATGCGGGATATCCTGGGCGAAACAGTATACTCTGTTATGTCTATGATACTGCTCATGTCTATAGGCGACGGTTACCACTTTCGATCAGGTGGGCGGTCAGCTTGTTTGCCATTCTAAATTGCATACCAAAAATATAAATTTTTCATATTAATCATTCATACTCGTTTATTTAATGTGTTTGTTGTAGAAACTTCACGGATATATGTTATGGCTGTATTTATTATTTATATGTTTTAATTAAGTATTATATATATATGTTTCTTTATTATTATTTATTTATATTTAAGAGCTGCGCTCTTGTCGGTGGAGCTCTTGCCACTCGCTACGATTTTCAGCGAGTCTCTTCACCTCTTGATACGACACGACACCAACTTCTTCCTTGATCTGCCTGATGTAACTATGTCTCGGTCTCCCTCTCCCCCTCCTTCCTTCTCTATTAAAGTAAAATAAATAAATAAATATTCGTTGGCTAGTTTCTTATAATAGAGGGTGTTCTAACTTAAAAACAAATCATTGTATTTGTGTAGCTCTTAAGAAAAATACTACCTCTATCCCACAGTTTCGTCATCATCACCATTTCAGCCATTACCCGTCCACTGCTGGACATAAGCCTCCCCCATAGACTGCCATAAAGAACGGTCCTGAGCCACCTGTACCTACTGACTTCTTGCAATACATTTCAGGTCGTCACTCCATCTGGTGGGGGTAGCCAAACGTAATGAATACACCTGGAATTCAGCACGGTGATTTCCAAGTGGACCTCATGGAGGTCGATCTGACAGGGTATATTGCTAGCAGAGATGTTAGAAAGGGAGAAATAGATTGTTAATAATAGGCTCTAACAGCCCCATTGCTAGCCATACACCCTATCAGCTCGACCTCCACGCGGTTTCCCTTAGAAAGCGTCGTGGTTAATTCTAATGGAATTTGTCACGATGGGCTAACTAACTTGCTGTCATCGTCACCTGTCATCACTAACTGGTGAGCCGCCAGCGTATACCGATAGCTCAGGCGGGGTTACCATTTCATTATCATTCATTAAAAAAATGATGCTGGTAGTCCGCATTACTAACATGTCGTATAGGGAGATCAAGGATATGGCCTGGGATAGAGCTGGCTGGAGGAAGATGCATGAATTAGTTGCACCGACAAGAGGAAACTCTTAAATGAAAAGAGATTACTTTTTATCTATTTTAGATAAAAATGCTCTTTTTCCCTCATTTAAAAATTAGTAAGGATTTAGGGCTTAATATTTATTTTTATGTATTTTAAATTTAAATACACTAAATTAATTAAAAGTACATGCTTAATTTGTTTACTAACTCCACTAAATGCGTATAGGAACACACATATATGTACATATACACATCGCCACATTCCGTCCGTCTGTATCCTCGATACCTACAAGTCGTAGAATTGCAAATCGGCTGTTAAACACCGTGACATACCTATAGACATACCTAGCACCTGTATATAGTAAATAAGTTCAACGACCAGTAAGCCACGCCTACTCCCACGCCCACACTGGACTCCGCCCAACAATTCGGTTATGGTGTCTAATATTTATTATGGGGAATAGAATTGAAATAATTGTTATATAATAAAACCTAATTATAAACAGTTTTGAAGGCGAGAAATAGATTGTTAGTACTCAATGGGGACTAGTGGACCCACTGCTAGAAATATTTAGGTCGTCCTCCACGCGTTCATCCCTCGAAACAGTCATGGTTGATTCTTTTTGAATTTGCTACGATGGGCCAACTGACCTACTTTCGTTTTTTACCTATCATCCCTCACTGGTGTCTCTCCGGGGTAAAATTATATATACATATATATATTATGGGCATAATGTGTGTTCGTATGAGGGGGAGGGAAGGGATTGCAATGCGGACTACCAGTCCTATTGCTAGCAATATCAGATCGACCTCCACGTGGTTTCCCTTGGAAATCATCGTGCTGAATTCCAAGTGTACTCATCACGGTAGGCTAACTGACCTGTTTTCATCCTCACCTATCATCCTCACTGTTGCCCCGTCAGTGTATACCGTTAGCGCAAGCGGGGTAACCATTCTGTTATCATCCATTACCAAAATATGTACTTGTACTTTTTTAATTTCTAACCGACTTAAAAAAGATGGAGATTCTTAATTAAAAAATAAAATTTCTTTATGTTTGATACGCCATAACTCCGTAACTTATAAACCGATTTATTCTTTTCTTTTATTAAATGGATATACTTTTTTTTTGATGGATGAAAATGGTATGGTAACGCTAATGGCCTGCGCTAACGGGATACGCTGGCGGAGCACCAGTGAAGGGTGATAGATGAGAATGAAAACAGGCCAGTTAGCCCATCATGATGAATTCATCAGGAATTAACCATGATAGTTTCTAGGGAGAACCGCGAGGAGGTCGACCTGGTTGGGTATATTGCTAGCAATGGGATTCTCAGTCTCCATTACTAACAATCCCTTTCCCCCAAATGGATATACTTTCAGGTTGGGGCCTATAGAAATTTTATCAAAATCGGTACAGTAGTTTAGTTTTTAAATCTAAATAACTGGTTTTTCATAATTGAAGACTTTATTGTAAAACATAAATTAAATTATTATTATTTTTCATTCGTAATTAAATCCTATTTAATTCAATAGCCGTGTAGGCTCCAGCATAGAATGGGCCACCCCCTCTTTTCCCGTTGGTGTCGTTAGAAGCGACTTAGGAAGGTCGAGAGATGGGAAGCAGCGTCCCTCTTAAACATCACCAAAGCCTAACTGCGGTTGCCAACCCGCCTACCAAGCCTGGCAACTACTGGCAAGACTCCCAAAAACAGGCTGTTATAATGATCTATTCAATTCCAAAGACAAACAATAGATTATTTTATCACCTATAAAATACATGTAAAATAAAATCATACGATTGTATACAATGTAAATAGATTTTAAAATGTCGCGACAAGTTTTTGCTTTAGCTATGTTAGGTACTTTGCGTTTCGAATTTTTTGTTGTGGACTTATTAATTCTTTGTAAACGGTTTTACTCGATTGTGTAGGTAAATATTTATGTGAATATAAAATATTTAAATTATAATGTCAAAAAAACTAGGAACTGCGCTCGCGTATAAGCGCTTGTTGTTGTTTGTGAAAAACAAAATGGTCGTCAATCTAAACCGATAATCGATCGACTTCCAAAATCTTGCAATTCCATATTCAAAATTGAAAACAAATATTTAATTTTATAGATACCTAGATAGATAGATACTCTTTATTGTTTCCTCCATAAGATTACAATAGTAAACTTATTATAGATATAAATAATTACAAGAAATAATCACAATTATATTATTTTATTAAATAAACTTTTTTTCTTTCATTTCAGATGTGGCACAGACGGCGACGGCAATAACTCAAAAATATGATTATTTAATCATTAAAACGCTTAAATACATATTTATTTCTTGTACTTAGTGCAATAATAATTTAATTTGAAAATAAAAAAAATATTTTGATTAAATCAAATTATAATAAAATAAACGGGTACAAAAATAATTATTTACTCGATGCTTTTGTTTAATTAAAAATTTATCACGTATTTTAAATTTTAAAATTTTTATTTCACCTTACGTTAAATATAAATTGTTATTAATTTCCATTTAATGTGATCAAGTTATATGAATATTAATTCAGTGAACGTTAAAATTATTTTAATTAATTTAATTAACATTGATCCCGTGAACATTTCGAGATAATATAAATAATGTCTCGGACATTTGCACCACAAAAGTGTTGTATTAAAAGGACATTAGACATTAACAGTGAATTAATAGTGAATTTAAGACACTATTTGAATTTTGAATATTAAAAATATGATTAAATTTGAACAAGTTTCATTAGAAATGTTGACGACTGATTAAATTTGAACAAGTTTCATTAAAAATGTTGACGACTGATTAAAAGTGAACATAGACGATTAAATTTGTTTGAGTGCAATTAAAATGTGTTATTTATGAGTGACTGTAGAGAACAGAGTTGCGGGATGTATACCACGTGGTACAGCCGCGGTGACAGTGGTATGCACCACCACCAGATGGGGCAGCTGTACCATCACGGACCCCCCATGATAAAGACTGAAGCTGGCGTCAATAGTGACTGCATGATGGCTGTGGACTATGCACCTCCCATTAAGGTAAGACTTTTTCTGTAACTTATGTTAGTACACCATTGACATCCCACTACTGGACATGTTAACCGACTATTAGCATGTTAATCAGGCCATATTCATCACCATATCAGCCGTTATCCGTCCACTGCTGAACGTAGGCCTCTCCTATAAATTGCTATAAGGAACGGTCCTGAGTCACCTGCATTCACTGACTCCTTGCAATGCGTTTAAGGTCGTCACTTTATCAAGGAGGGGGTTGTCGTACTGCGTTTGCCCGTACAGGGTCGGCACTCAATTTTAAAAGTATTGCGTTTTTTTAAATGTATTTGTATTATTGACCAGAACACTTAGCACGGGTATATATACGACGCAAACGAATTGTTTCGCTGTTGGGTAGGGTGCGTGTTAGCTCGAACAGTGTCCTGAAGACAATTGCTGATAAAATGGACTGTCCCATCCTAAAATATTGGGTGGGACAGATTATCAATGCAAGAGCGTTATGACCGCTCATTTACTAACATAGATTAATTCAATTTATAACTAACAAAATGGGCCTTGTGTAGTCTAATTAAATAAATATTATTATTATTATTATAGCTCTAATTATCTTTCATATATGTAAATGACAATGACATGAGCGAAGAAACAGACAGATGCAAATAGCGACTTTATTTTATACTATTTAGAGATGTTGCAATTGATTCTATCGATTCAATGATTTTTTACTATTGTATGATAATAAATCCACGGTATAAACAAATCCGACGCGCTCAGTACGTGCTACGTAGATTTCTCATTTGGTGTTTGAAGTTTGAATTTCAAAAATCTATGATCAGGTCACCATCACCAAACAAGATTAAACGCTATGGCACGTACCTCGTAGGGTCTACGACACCAGCACCCGTGCCCACCATTACCAAAGACAAAATCCACACAAAAACCATAGAGAAAAAGATACCAACCTGTTTGCGTAAGTCCAGAACGGTCACGCACGACCGCGCCCGATTTTGAACGGCCACCGAGCGGCGAATCTCTTTCTATTCGTCTATTTTTCTAAAAACTTCCTATTGCTTCCATGATATGGATGCTGCGGTCCAAAAAAGCGATCACGTCGCATCTACGTGAGTAATCATCTCGTTAACTGTTGACTTTGCACACCTGTTCCGTTGAATGATGCTCCGTCCATTCATGACTTCGAATGACTCGGATGAAATAATGTTTTGGGGAGAGCTTATCTGGTTCTTAACTAATAAAATGATACAAGTTAAATTAATAGAGTTAATTAGAAACCCAGTGATAAATATTCAGAATAGTAAAATATTTTGCTCAAGGAATATATGAGTTAAACTACCAATAAATAATATTTTAATATAAGCATTAAAAGTAATTAATTCGTTTAAAAATAACAAACTAATTAATTAATTTAATTAGTTTGTTATTTAATTTTAAATTTTTATGTTATTTAATGTTATTTACTTATATTTTTAATTAAATACAATAATTACTTATGAACGTTTGTACAAAAATCTGTAACAATATGTAACATTTTAAGCGCTTTTATTTTTTACAAAAATAATGTGAGTTTCTGGGGATTATTCGAATTGATACCTGCTATTGAATTTTACCATCATACAACCCGGTACAAACTCAAGTTTCATCCCAACCACCTAGATCAGTGGCGGTCTTTCACTGTGCGTTTTTTAAGGCACTTTCTACTACGCGCAACCACGCTTAGGAATCAACTTCCAGCAGCGGTATTTCCGAACCGATATGACTACATAACTTTCAAGAAAAGAGCATATTCATTTTTAAAAAGCCGACAGCACTCATGGACAGCGTTTTCATAAACAATGTAGTTAAGTTATACCCCTCCCTTTTTCGTAGGCGTCGTAAGAGTCGAGGGATAGGCAACGGTGTTTCTTTTGAAACATCACCAATGACTAAGCGGTTGCCAATCCACGTACCAAGCGTATCATCTATTGGCAAAATTGTCCGTACGGGAAAGGCCTATGTTCAGCAGTGGACAGTTAATAGTTGATATATTAATAACTAGCGGCCCATCCCGGCGTCGCATGGGTGGACATTTTTACATTTTAAAAAGTGGCCATTAAGGCTGCACACGCGACGGGAGTTTAAAAATAGAGTAACTTCTCCCGTTTCCCTAACATTATCATTCACTGCTCTGCTCCTATTAATCGTAGCGTGATGAAAAGTATACTATAACCTGCCCAGGAGTATGAAGAATAATTGTACCAAGTTTCGTTAAAATCTGTCGACTAGTTTTTGTTTCTATAACGAATATACAGACAGACAGACAAAAATTTTACTGATTGCATTTTTGGCACCAATACCGATCACTAATCACCCCCTGATCCAGTTATTTTAGAAATATATCTCATGTACAGAATTCACCTCTCTACAGATTTATTAGAAGTATAGATAGATAAAAAGTAAATTATTTAAAAAAAAAATTAGAAATCCCTACGAAAATTACAGTAATAAAAAACCCAAAATCTCGAAAATGTTATTAAAGTTAATATCAAATATTTACCAATTTATCTTTCCATCTTCTCGTGTAAAGCCAATATCTAGTTATGGTATAAAATACTTTTTTTTTACAAATAGGATAAACCGGGGCTTTCCTGGGCTATTGCGGTGAGTTTGTCATTAAATACCGAGCGGGGATTACAGGCATCTTGGTCCCGATCTCTCCCGGACATTGATATATGAGGGGCACGTCCTGGGAACATCTCACTCACTGCTCGTGGAATCTAAAGAATTAAATCTTACTAATAAAACTGTATCTTGCTGATGTTTATTCCGGAAATATACAAAAATTACTGCACCAGATTAGATTCGGTTTTCACGGTTGTATACGTGGAGGTTTAACTTACAATCTAGTGTATGTTTTATTTATTTTACACTTTATTGCACCAAGTAAAAAGAGAAATAACAAATATAGTAAATATTAATGAGAAGTGATACAAAAGGCGGCCTTATCACTAAGCAATCTCTTCCAGACAACCTCTGGGTAGAGGACATTGAGAAAGAGACAAAGGGTAGGTGGCGCACTATTATATAAATATTATCATATACAAACATATATACATACATACATACATACATACACATACTTAACAGCACATATACAACAGAAAAAAAATGACGAAGGAAAACGAAGAGAGAACATAGGAAAATAGTACTAAAGTGAGAGGTAGTAAGATTTAACAGAGGTTTTGAAGCTAGTAAGAAATTGAGCGCACCGAATAGAGGTAGGTAGTGAGTTCCATAGGCGAACTGCCTGAACAGTAAAGGATTTAGAATAAAAGGAAGGAAGGAAGGGAAGAAAAGGAAGGAAGGAAAGGAAGAAAGGAAAGGAAGGAAGGAAAGGAAGGAAGGAAAGGAAGGAAGGAAAGGAAGGAAGGAAAAGAAGGAAGGAAAGGAAGGAAGGAAAGGAAGGAAGGAAAGGAAGGAAGGAAAGGAAGGAAGGAAAGGAAGGAAGGAAAGGAAGGAAGGAAAGGAAGGAAGGAAAGGAAGGAAGGAAAGGAAGGAAGGAAAGGAAGGAAGGAAAGGAAGGAAGGAAAGGAAGGAAGGAAAGGAAGGAAGGAAAGGAAGGAAGGAAAGGAAGGAAGGAAAGGAAGGAAGGAAAGGAAGGAAGGAAAGGAAGGAAGGAAAGGAAGGAAGGAAAGGAAGGAAGGAAAGGAAGGAAGGAAAGGAAGGAAGGAAAGGAAGGAAGGAAAGAAAGGAAGGAAAGGAAGGAAGGAAAGGAAGGAAAGGAAGGAAAGGAAGGAAAGGGAGGAAAGGAAGGAGAAGAAGGAAGGAATGGTTTATGATATGCCATCTAGAAGAGGTATGTTTAATTGGTTGTTTAATTGGAATTATTTTGTTTAATTCCGCTACTATTATTATGTTCTTGGAGTGTTGGCAGTGTGACTGCAACACCCCAAGATTGACCACTTCAATTTTAGCAAAAACACAATTTTGAGTGGAGATATTATTCTTTTGAATTATTTCATCTTAGTATAACGATAAAATTCTAAAAGGACGATGTCTGCAATTGGAAAATATTTAAGAAAAAATAATATTAGAACTCTTAATAAGACGAATGAAAAATAAAACTAAAAAAAAAGCTAGAATAGGGTTTTCACAGTTGTTTTTCAAAAAGTCTAACTTAAAATTTGATATAATATTTTTACTTCATACGCTTTAAAAGTGATCTGTTTCATCGGAATTCCTATTTCTGAAATCCACGCGCGCGAAATAGCAGGCATAAAGCTAGTGTCATAAAAATATTCGGCTAAGCAGTCTCATAGCGGCCGATATGCGATCAGCACTGTATTTAGGAGCGTTCCGGGACAATCGTCCCCGGATAACGACATCTCGGCACTGTGACGTCATTAATCAACGTTTCCAGGGGCGAGGCGTAAGACGTGCCGCACAACCGTGTATCTGACACGTAGAAAGTTTGTTTACTTCAGCGATGTCTTTAGAAGAAAGTTTGATCTGAATTTCTGTGAATTTACTTAGGAAACTTTATTTGTACCACTACAAGAGTATATAAGTATAACTAAGAAATATTTTTTTTATACTACATAGAATGGCAAACAAGCTGGCGGCCCACCTGATGAAAAGTGGTGACCGTCGCCTATAGACATGAGCAGTACCATGGACATAACAGAGTATACTGTTTCGCCCATGATACTCCCCATGCGTTGCCATTCCTGAGGACTCAGGTGTTATTCCTCTGTACCCAGTGAATTCACTGGAGGAATCGAATTAGCAATGAGGAGGTCCTGCTTAGGGTTAAGGAAAAAAGAAAAATTATTAGAACTATTGACGACAGAAGGGGAAAAATATTGGGACACTTGATACGACACGACGATCTTATGAACATTATAATAGAAGGTAAGATAGAAGGAAGGAGGGGGAGAGGGAGACCGAGACATAGTTACATCAGGCAAATCAAGGAAGGAGTTGGTGTCGTGTCGTATCAAGAGGTGAAGAGACTCGCTGAAAATCGTAGTGAGTGGCAAGAGCTCCACCGACAAGAGCACAGCTCTTAAATAGGATAGATAGATAGATAGAGTGTTTACAAGTTTACAAGTATTTTTATGTTAGGTTTAGCTTCGCTTAAAGCACATCGTAAGTCCTAATTATTAGGTTCTTTTTTTCCTCTGCAGGATAGCTGATGCCCCACGGAGGTCTATTACCCTCAACTTAGGAAATCAGGTTTTATAGATAGAAAATATGACCCGCCGACTGATAGGGTACCTATAAATGAATGCTGAATAGCAATACTTAGCTAATTGGCTTCTTTTCATTTAAGAGTTTCCTCTTATCGGTGCAACTAATTTATGCATCTTCCTCCAGCCAGTTCTATCCCAGGCCATATCCTTTATCTCTCTATACGACATGACGCCTAATGTTTCCTTTATCTGTCCCATGTAGTTAATACTCGGTCTTCCTCTTCCTCTTTTGCCCTCTATCTTTCCTTCTATTATGCTCTTATTTAGCTAATTGGCATTGGTCAAAATATATAGAGCTAGAGGTTTCTACCAATCGGAATGACTTTGTTTTACACTGGTACTTCTTGGTGCCTTAACGATTTATAACTTAAATTTTTATTTTAATCACATGAACGAAGTCGCTGGCACGCCTATTGAATGCTCGCAGAAAAAGAAAAAAAATATTAGAATTAAAAAAAAAATTGTTATAGCGTTTTGTCATACAATAGTGAAGAGAAAGATCTGGAATGATCCAAATATATAGAGCTGGAAGTTTCTACCAATCGGAGTGAGTTTGTCTGTTTGGTATTTCTTGGTATTTTAATGATTTACTTTAGAACTTAATTTTTTATTTTAAGCATATGAACTAAGTTGCTGGCATGTCTATTAAATACTCGTAAGAAAAGAAACAAAAATATTAGATTAAAAAAAAATTGTTATAGCGTTTTGTGACACAGTAGTGAAGAGAAAGATCTGGAATGATCCGAGGAATTACTTCACGACGACCCGACACACAATGTCGTCGCAAATTTAGTGGAATCGTCGAATTGTGACGATGTGACTAATTATATTTTGGGGAGACGGATAAAGATGTATGTTGTGCGTGTTTTGTTTTCAACCGGCTTCTGATTCACAATTAGACTGATTTTTCGTTAATTTCTAGTAATCACGCAAACGATTTCAATCATTCTTTTTACAATTAATAGGATTAATTCGTGTGTTAGTTTCATTCTAATTTTGTTTTAATTGATGCAATTTATTTTTGTGTAACAAAAAATTAGGTTTTTCTTTATTCAGAAAATAAAAATGCAATATAAATAAAAATAAAAATTATATTCCACAAAAAAATCCACTTTAATTGTGGCAAAATTAGTTATTACTTAAAATAAATAAATTGTTACATACATACAAATTAAAATTAATGATAACTCATTCATTCATTCATTCATTTTGATTTAAAAACTAAATTTCTGAACCGATTTGGATATAAATTCTATGAGACCGATCTGTAAGTACATATATTAAATAATCAAAAATATCCCAAATTGGTTTACAACTAACAGAATTGTAAAAAAAATACAACAGAATTCAAGAATCTCCTTCTTTTTGAAGTCTTTTTTTTTATTACAACAAATGGGGGAAACGAGCATGCGGCTCACCTGACGGTAAGTGACTACCGCCGCCCATGATCATCCACAACACGGCGGCATTGCAAGTGTGCTGCCGGCCTTTTAAAAAGGAATATACTCTTCTCTTGAAGTTCGGTTGAAAAACCCTCCGAAATCTTTCACTAGAGTTACTAATTTAATCCCACCATTTTAGCGTATTTCAACATTTAATAATTATAACAAAAGACGTGAGATGAATGTGTCAGTGCAACTGAAAGATTCCAGAAGATTCCTTCCTCATATAAATGATGGTTGTGGTGCGACTGAAAGTTGTGGTGTGACAGCGTTTGTCTTTTAAATTAATTATCTGTGAGTCGTTCCGTGTGTTGTTGGCTTTATTGTAATATAAAAAGAAAAATAGATAGATAGATACTCTTTATTGTTTCCTCGAAAAGATTACAATAGTAAACTTATTATAAATATAAATAATTACAAGAAATAATCACAATGAGAAAACAATGGGCGGCCTTATCGCTAAGAGCGATCTCTTCCAGGCAACTTTTGGATGGAGAGGAGTAATTATTGTAGATCACATTTGTATTAAAGCTTGTGTTTTTTTTTTCAATCGACTTCAAAAAGAAGGAGTTTCTCAATTCGGTTGTTTTTTTTTTGTATGTTTGTTACATCATTACTCCGTCAGTTGTAAAGCGATTTGGAAATTTCTTTTTTTTTTATCTGAAAGAATAGACTTATAGGTTAGTCCCGTAGATTTTTTTTTTTATAACACAGGGGTTAAATGAGCATGCGGCTCACCTGATGGTAATTGGTTTAGTAGTTTAGTTTTCAAAGCTAAACACCTGTTTTGCCACAATCAATGTCAGTTATTTTTGTAGAATACAATTAAATTATGTATTCATTTAAAATATATATTTATTAATGGAAGGAAAACAAAGGCCGGCAGTACACCTGCAATGCCGCTGGTGTTGTGGGCGATCATGGGCGGCGGTAGTCACTTACCATCAGGTGAGCCGCATGCTCGTTTGCCCCCTGTGTTGTAAAAAAAAAAAACCTTTTATAGTAACTATGATAAATACAAAATTTTCACAAGTATATATAAAGTTTAACTGACCCATTGCTAGCAATACACCCTATCAGGTCGATTTCTGTAGGCAAAACAACATTTACCGTGTCAACTTCTCGTAGTTTCTATATATAAATCCAACTATTAAAAATCCAAATAGACATTGAAAATTGTCATCGTCATCGTCATATAAGTAGATCGACTGAACATCACGATTTCATTTCAAATTCTCATCGATTCGACGCTAGCAATTTTCTGAAGACGGCTCACCAGGCGTGGCACACATCACTCGCAAGACACGCAAAAAACAAGAAACCATTTTTCACATTCGTCTAACGCCCTCCTCGGCGAAACCCCCATTAGTGGCGCGGGGGGGGGGTGAGGGGGGCGAGTGAGGGGGTGCGTTTGTTTTAGTTAGGTCAATGTACTTTGACACTGATGTTTGATAATTTATTGTATTTTTCCTTTGTGATTTTTCAACGGTTGATAATTGAGGATGGGAAAAGTAAAAACAAAATATATCTATATTTGTACCTACTCCAAACAATAGTACAGATTTTTTTTTATACAACTTAGAATGACAAACAAGCTGACGGCCCACCTGATGGAAAGTGGTAACCGTCGTCTATAGACATGAGCAGTACCATGTACATAACAGAGTATACTGTTTCGCCCATGATACCCCCCCATGCGTTGCCATTCCTGAGGACTCAGATGTTATTGCTCTGTACCCAGTAAATTCACGCCATATTCTACCCTTCAAACCAAAACACAGCCATGTAAACACAACTGCTTTACGGTTGAAACACGAATGGGACAGAGGTACCCAAGCAATCAACTTTTGTACAGTCTTCCTTTAAAAACTATTATGAATTTTAGCGATTTACTTTAATATGTTACAATTATTCCTATAGATAAATAAATAAAAAAAAAATCAACTTCCGCCTAATACCTGACTATATAGCTTACAAAACGAGATTAAAAACTATCGAACCAATCTCTGTCAAAGAGCCGAGTCACGTCGCGCCCTCTACCCGTTTTTTGCATACCGTTTCAGTCGGCCGCCTCTGAAAAAACCCAGCAAAAAAAGGTTACACTCAACGCTCGGTAGATGTCGCCCTTTTAATGAATGGATATTTTTTTAAGGGGGCTTTTTTCATCTTGTTAAGTTACTCTGATGGCGAGATGGTGACGCGAGTTGTATCAATGGGAAATAAGCTCATTGATGATGGGATCTATTCAATAAATACAGTTATATTATATATTATATTAAAAAAGTAAATTATAAATTAGAGAGTTACATTCTCTGATTTACAGTTATGTCTAAGATTGAACTCATTATAAGATATTGTCTTCTTTTTACATGGATCGATACAGGTACCTATGTATTTTACAACTTAAAAACATTTAGCCAACTTACTAGAGGGAGACTTTGTACAAAAGTCATTTGCTTGGGTACCTCTGTCCCATTCGTCTTTCAACCGTAATGCAGTTGTTTGCATAGCTGTGTTTCGGTTTGAAGGGTGGAATATGGCGTGAATTTACAGGGCGCAGAGGAATAACACCTGAGTCCTCAGGAATGGCGATTACGGTTGAAAAACGAATAGGACAGAGGTAGTCAAGCAATCGACTTTTGTACAAAGTCTCCCTCTGGTAATTTTAATTAATTAATTAAATTATCAACACAAATATGTATGTACATGTGCATGTGTATAACTCATTAATTAGTATTATAGAAATAGATTTGTTTGATACATTAATCACCATTAGCAATGCTCCATTAGATTCATAACAATGATTCATATTATGTTAATTTATGATCATTATTCATTAGCTTCAACTTAAAAGGTATTCAAGACAAGCTGTACACGTGACTTTGTCTGCCATGCCTTAACAGCCGTTAAATATCCACTGATGAACGTAGTTCTCTCCATTGGGGTATTTTGCCTGTAGTTGCCACGCTTGGCGAGTTGGCAACCGCAGTTAGGCTTTGGCGGTGTTTTTAGATGGATATTGATGTCCATCCCTTAAGCGTTAAATACCTTTAGTTGCCTCTTACGACACGCACGGAAAAGGAATGGGTGGCTTATTCTGTGCCGGGACCACACTGCCATGCCAAGACCACACGACACATGAAAATACATTGCGATTGTTTTATAACAAAATAGAAAGTAAATATTCTTAGGAACCCTTATCACCGCCAGAGGGCGATTTCATCACACGAATAATAGTATCTTCGTTTCACGCAAAGAGATTTGTATCTAGAAATATGTCATTAATTATTTATTATTTAATTTTTAGCTAACTTTTACCCGGTACTTCGTACGTGTAGATTTCAAAAGTCCAAAAACCAACGAGGTAGACCACCTGTAGATGGCGTGTTAAAATATTATATACATTAAATTTTAAATTAGACTTTAGAAAAAAAAGAGCAATGAAAACTGAATCTGGTTTACCGTAGCAGTTTTTGCGTGATACCAGAACAAACATACAAACAACTGAACCACCAGAGGGAGACTTTGTACAAAAGTCGTTTGTTTGGGTATCTCTGTCCCATTCGTGTTTCAACCGTGAAGCAGTTGTTTGCATGGTTGTTTCGGTTTGAAGGGTGGGATATGGCGTGAATTTACTGGGTACAGAGGAATAACATCTGAGTCCTTGGGAATGGCAACGCATGGGAGGTATCATGGGCGAAACAGTATACTCTGTTATGTCCATGGTACTGTTCATGTCTATAGGCGACGATTACCACTTTCCATCAGGTGGGCCGTCGGCTTGTTTGCCATTCTAAGTTTTATAAAAAAAAACTGTCATACTCATATTACTTTTGGTATTTCCTGATAACTACAGTGTTATTTATTTGTTTATTTATTTACATGAAACATGATAAGTACATAGATATTAACAATATGTATAAGTTCTCATATTTCGTCATAATTAGGCATGCAAATTATAAACCTGTTACAGTACATCAATAAATTAAAGTTAATATACAATTTCTTAAATACTAATTATTAGTAATCTCCCAATGCACCATACCGAGGCAGCGTACCCAATATACTGGCAGCATTACCTCTTTGGATTGCTAAACTTATCTTTTGGGCAAAGTAGCTGCTAATGTTAATATTCAAAATGAAATATATAATAAAATATTAAGTAAAAAAATATATATAAAACTTAAAAAGTATAAATGTTAAGTAATTAAATGGGTAATTAAAACAATTAATAATGTTATAAAAATACAAATATACTAAACATAAAATATTATATAGGTATGTCTCCGTACCCTGTCAATTCAACGCAATATCCCACTCTTCAATCCGACACTGCCATTCAATCGCACACTAAAAATATAAGAAAGAAGGATCCATCAAACGATTTTGTATATAATCTTGCTGTGTTATGGGGTAAAAATGAAGATATTTCCAAAAACAATGTTGGTACAGCACTGTACATTTGAAAAACTCCCATCCTGTTCTAAGAAGTTCCATTACACCATAATTAAAGGAACACAACACTACACTAAGCTAATATACTAAAAAATTTATAATTTTATTAAATTATCTATTGCTTGAATTAGCTTGACTTTAAATTATAAAATTAACTAACATACCTTGATATTACAGAGTGAAATTCTGTTTTGAGGTTACATTATTGACAAGTGACCGATTCTGTAGTCAGTCGATATATTAATTAAGGAACGATTTATAGTTTAGCAAGCAACTGGAAATAGTAAACAATCTAATAATCTAATAGTTTTGTTCATAATTTAACATTGTTTTCCATATATAAAATCACTTTCAATTGTGGCAAAACCATTTTTTTTATACAACTTAGAATGGCAAACAAGCTGACGGCCCACCTGATGGAAAGTAGTAACCGTCACCTATAGATATGAGCAGTACCATGAACATAACAGAGTATACTGTTTCGCTCATGATACCCCCCATGCGTTGCCATTCCTGAGGACTCAGGTGTTATTCCTCTGTACACTGTATATTTACACCATATCCCACCCTTTAAACCGAAATACAGCCATGCAAACACAACTGCTTTACGGTTAAACCTCTTATTTTGATTTCAAAACTAAACAACTGAATCGTTTTGATTAAATTTCTATGTAAACAATCTGTAACTTTATAAGTGACAGAGTAAAGAGCTTTGTTACCTCTTTACTATAAAAAAAATTACGTAATTTCCTTATTTTTAAAATCGGTTGAAAACTAGCAGCCGTCTACAACAGACATAAAGACCCTTCATCTACAACCAAGATACCCCTTATGTGTCGCCATTCCTGAGCAGTAGTATTATATCATTATCTTTTTGTCAAATCGAAAGATAGGTATGTATGTTACGCACACACACACGCACACACACACGCACAGGCACATACACACACACACACCCACGCACGCACGCACGCACACACACACACACACACGCATACATTTTTATCACAATTTCACTGAACCTACAAATTATTGTTTCTCTAAAATTATGGGCTCCATTGTAATTTTTGTATTTGTTACTTCACTGTTTCATATTGTTTCATTAAAAATGTAATACAACCAACATATGGAAGAGGGCACTGACTCCTGAAACACAGGTTTTTTCATACCTACCTCGGGAGTTAGGGACTTCGAACTATATTGTAACAAAGAGTGAAATAAAGATTTATTATTATTATTATATATACAAACAAAGCTACTTGACAGCAGAAACACGAGAGAGAGAGGTACTAATGCAGATTAGAAATGAATAATGTCGATACTGCTCCTCATGTAGGTGCATCTGAAGATTGATGGATAAAAAATGTGCATCACCCAATTCGATATCACCAATACTGGCCGGATATATATAATAAATTTCATCCCAACCATCTGGACGAGTGGCGGTCCTTCACCGTGCGTGCCTGCGTCAAGGCACTTTATCCCACGCATAACCACTCTTTGGAATCAACTTCCAGCAGCAGTATTTCCGAACCGATACGACATATGTTGTCGTATTTTATATACGACAACACATGACATTTCGATTTTATATATTGGATGACTGATATTTAATACATCTATTTATTGAGCAAATATATAGATATTGTAACCACGATATATAGATATTGCAATGTATTAGTCACTCCTAAAGCAGATAGACTTTACACGAAGTTCTGGCTCTGGAAAAGAAAGAGAAATAATATGTTTTACTTTTACTACACGAGTAAGCAAGTTAAAAAAACAGAGGTCGTAATCGTGATAGTTAGAGATTATTTGATTTTGTTTTTGAGTTATAATAAATAAGTTTAAATTATTAATTATGTGAAATAAGGTATACCTTATTATCTAAATATTAAAATTGTTATTCCTATGGTGTTACTAATAACAGTAAATCAATATTTTTTTATTGAGACAGACGCATTAAAATTATGTGGTATGTTTAGTTTACTAAGAATATTAGACAAGCTGCCAAAAATTATGGTATCCACTAAAACGGGTCAAAATTTTTCAAATAAATTAGCGAGTGATTTGATAATGGCACCTCCCCGACAATAGCGCCGTGGTGTAAGCGAGAAAAATCTGAACTATGAACTCTATAATCCCACCTAATTGAAATGACTGTCTACATATATTAGTGCAATCAAATGAATGACATTTTTAATTTGGTCGGTTATTCAGCCTTTAACCCTTTACTGCGCATGCCCCCATACATAAGTAGGTGAAGGGAAAAAAACACAAATTTATACCGGGTAAATTTTAAACCTATACTTTTTTTTCCTTCCAGCATTTTTATGTCGATCCTTTGTGTGTGTGCGTTGTGCCAGTTTTAATTACGTATTGACTTAATTTGCCTGCGACCCCGCGTTCCAGGGAACGCTTTTGACAGCTTCTCGGTGTAAATTTGCGTGTTTTTGCTGTGTTTTGTTGCTCTATCCGTTGTTTTCGATGTTTTGTGCGAGTGCAGGTTATGTTGTGATGTTCGCGGCGGGTTTCAGCTGTTAGTTTTGGTGGGAAAGTGGCGTGTATGCGGTGATTGGGATGAGACTGTGAATTGAAAATGGAATTACTTTTTGAGGAGTGGAAGATATTGTTTTGTATAATGTGATACAGGTATGTTTAAAATAATTGTACGTAATTTTACGTACGTAATATATTTATATACCCTACATTGATAACTGTAACTATATCTTTTATTATGTCAACCACCTGTTGTCATATAATTATACATATACATAATATTGGATTTTGATATGTGATTAAGTATACTAAATAGAACTCGTTATTTTCTCTATAATTTTCTCTATTTTTTTCATAATTATTATTGTTATCAGCTATAATCTTATTTATGTTTATAACATAAATATGAAATTTTGTAACAATAGATGGATGAATAGACAGATGGTGGATGTTTGTTAATAAATAAAAAAAATACTATCTAAACTTATTACATATGACACTATACTGATTCACGCGGGTGAAGCCGCAGGATAGAGCTAGTCAGTAATAGTAATAAATTATACATTTATATAGGATTTTAAGTTAAAAGATCTTCTTAGTGGTAGGTAGTTTTACAATATCCCATTGTTATGTGAAATAATGAGTTATTTTATTCTAAAAAAATTTGGGAAACATTTTGGAGTACTGTTTTGTAAAGCCTAGAAAATACTGAAGCTTTAAATATATATCTGCAATAGATGGCGCCCTTAGCTAAGTGTTCAATTATAATAATAATAATTTATTATTTATGTAATAAAAATTACAATTTTAAAAATTTTGGTTTCATACCTTTTAGGTATTATTTAACCAACAATAAAAAGGTCTTTTTATTTGTAAGTCTTTAGGTTCAAATTGTTAGAACCTTTTATCCGGGTCTTGCTACTTTGTAGCATCCAGCCTAACGAAACTTAGACTAGAACGAAAGATGGAGCTAATAGCTAGACTGGTTAATAATAGATAGATGTAGTATTTGTTCTTGCTCTATCTAATTTATTTTTTAATTTATTTAAAAAATCTCTTGACAGTATATTCGTTCACGCTAATTTTCGAAACGGCGCAACCGGTTTACAATTGACGGAGTCATAAGGTAATAAACAGAAAAAAAATTAGAATTTTGTTCTTTTTGACGCCGGTTGAAAATCCCGTGTCACAATATTTGTTCATGCTAATCTCCAGAGCGGCGTAATCGCTTTTAATAAAGTTTTGTAATTATATATTCTATACTCAAACTTAACAAATATAATGGCCGGCAGCACACCTGCAATGCCGCTGGTGTTGTGGGTGATCATGGGCGGCAGTAGTCACTTACCATCAGGTGAGCCGCATGCTCGTTTGTCCCCTGTGTTGTAAAAAAAAAGAATAATTATTATCCCGATTAGAATAAAATGCACCCGATAGGTGGCAGTAAAGTGCAAAACAACATTTTCCTGGCCAGTTAAAAAATACTGTTCTTTAGTAAAATCATCGCTTGTACAGTTGGACTAATTCGGTATATTTTTCTTTTTTTTTTTTTTGTTATATTCATAATAGTCTTATTAAAGTTTTTAAGGAAAGAAAATGAAATTTTATTTAAATAGGACAGCGTCTGTCAGGTTAACTATTCTGTTTACAGTATTATAGGTGAAAAAAAAATAAGAAGCAACAATGTTTATTTGTCTATCATCGTCATCATCATCATCACCACTGCAATCCACTGATGAACATAGGGCCTCTCCCATATTAGCCTTTAACCCTTAAAAGCCTGATTTTTTAAATCAAATTAAAAAATATATAAGTGTACCATTTACTGTGTTTACTAATGGGGAAAAATAGTAAAAAAAAAATCAAAACGTTATTTTTATATATTTATTAAAAAAAAAAAAACATTTGGTAACATGTAAACAGCCAAATATTAAAAAAAAATCGATTGTAAGCGCCCAATGCGATTTATAACCCCGGTATCAAATTTGATAGTTCAGGTATTCCTTTATAAAAGGCCGGCAGCACACCTGCAATGCCGCTGGTGTTGTGGGTGATCATGGGCGGCGGTAGTCACTTACCATCAGGTGAGCCGCATGCTCGTTTGTCCCTAGTGTTGTAAAAAAAAATTTCAGGGTTAATCTGACTATTATTACCATCAGTACAATCCACTGCTGGACATAGGCCTCCCACATATAAGACTATGTGTTTAATTTAGATATTACCAAAAACAGACCTCGCTAACCAAAAATATGGACTAAAATAATTACTAGAACTATATGTACAATATGTACGTTTTATTGTTTTTTTTTTATTATTGTTATTTTAAATGAGGAGTTTCGCGACTGACTCTTGGCCACAGCAGAATATCAGTGTTTTGCTCTTTTAAGGGCAAAGCAATAAACTGAGTTGTGACCATTTTATGTTACTATGGCACACGCATGAAGGAAGGGAAAGAAGGGAGATTGTTAGTTTATACATATATTTTTTTTTGTTTTGTGCTTTTTTTATTTTCATTCTTTTATCTCTTTTATTGTGTATTATGTGTATGTTTTTTTTTTATTGTAATTTGTGTGCTGTAAGTAATGTTAATAAATTATCTATCTATCTATCTATCTATCTATGTAGTGACTGTAAAATTGGTGCAGAGAATTGTTTAGGCAATAGAAAAAAAATTTGCTTTACAGGGGTCATTGTATCTACAA